ATCCATGCCAATCCAATATACATTTCTTTACAATTGGGCTGTTAGTGAAGCAAACTTGTGTTTGCTCTTACAATCAACTGCATTATATAGATATGAAGAGAAACTGGGTTTGGAGATAATATTGTTAGGGGTACTTTCAGTTCGTATGAAAGTGAATGAAGAAGACATTCGTTGACCGATCCCACCAGATGAGGATGGATGAATCTCGTTGTACTGCATTATGTATACATAAAGTGAGTAAATTTCGCCCGATCAGTTAATCTTGAACACAAACTGTATTCATCCTAGGTACGATTCAGCTATGAATATGAATTTGACCAGGATTATATGAGTAAGTCTAATGATACCATTGAATTTCATTTAATTCAAATATGAAAAGAACTATTAGTGGCATTTTGAGACGCCTAGTGTCATCGGTGACTAGTTCTGATAGTTTCAAAACTTAGTTACCACATATAATATTTTACTTACGGCGCGATTATGCTTTGAAATTTACCTTCCTAATTAAGATTTGTATTTTGGGATTAGAATACAGGGTAAATTCGCCTTTATAAAGTCTATGGACTAAATGAAATATGTTTTCGAAAAGTCACCTATGAATGATGAACGTATTTATAGTGAGTTGATTTATTTTGATCAATTTGCCTACTTTATTGTAATGTTAGATTCGTCTTTCATTGAGTGCAATCTTTCATATAACGCAATGGCAATGGTTACTAAGTATGACTGTAAACTCAAACTCACTGGGTCCGAATCCCGTCCTAAAAGTTCGTAAATGCACGGAAGAATCCATTCTAAACGCATGCAGTAAGAGTCTACGAAAAAAGAAAGTCTTCACTAAAATTCATCACTGACAGAAAAAGTATCATTACCTAAAGCACAAAGTAACCATCAAAATAGCGAAAATATGGATTAGTTGCTCTAGGTCTTTTAAAGTGCTTTTAAAGACTGATAGTAGAACATTCCCACAATGATACAAATATGCTCCGCGTTTCCATCGAATGTTATTTAGCTCTGTCTTCCAACAGGTTTCTTCACCACGGTTAGACTGTAGTTTTGACCTCGCCTAGGTGTCATTGGCACATATAACGGGATTCGAACCAGGCTGATAAAAATCGTGGCAACTTGTTACTACTTGTTTGCAAAGCTACGGGTGCCCCGGTTCACGATGCAAATGTGACATTCAAGGGCTAGCACAAATTATATTCATAGTTGGATTGTCGAAGAATTTATTTGTGAATGTAAGGTCAAAAGTGCAGTCCATCCTTGATGAGAAGACCTCTTTGCAGGTCAGGCTGAGTACAATTCGATTTAAGCATGTGGCCTATTCATTTCAGTGTAGGAACAACTTTATTACTGGTACTTGAAGCATATTAAGTGACCGATAATGATAAAATTATCGCTTGGAAACATACTCATCCAGACAAACTAGATAAATATATTTGGGGCAGTTCTTAGATATTAATAAATCCATATTTACTATTTTAATGTATAGCCACAGAAAGATATATGCCCATATCAAAGCTCTACCAGAGGTAATGATCGTTGGGGCAAAATAATTTAGTAATCTAATATAAA